AGGGCTGGGTGGGCACCTGAGTCCCTGGCAGGACAGGTCACGTGGGGACACAGCATGGCACATCAGCATGAACCCTCAACGCAAGGAAGGGTAAGGGGACGAGTAATACCGGCTCCATCCAGACGGTGACTGTGGGCTCAGCGGTTGTCAGGAGGTGCTGTTAATCCATCGCAGGTCCTAGGAGCACGTCAGCTTGGTCTGGCCACTGCCATTTGACTGCACTGTCATCAGGGCCCAATGCATTTTTCCATTCCGCGGGGTTTCTGTCTTCACTAGGAATACACCTTTGGGTTTTACCGAGAAGCCTCCTGTCCCCACCCCTCCTCCCTGTGTACACATATCCGTAGTTTGCTTTTCCCTGAATGCAAGAGCAGGGGCCCAGACGAAATCCTGGTTCCTCGGGGTGGGGTGGGGGAGTGCGGGTGTGCATTTCTACACGTGTATATCCATGCCTTTTCTCTGTAATTGGTACTTTCTGAGGTTAGAAATTGTATTCTGGAATGAGCCCAACTCCTTTTGACCATATTGATACAACCAAAGCCTAAGGGCTGAGATGCATTTAAGGAGAGGACTCAAGAAGCAAGAGTGTCTGGTCAGAGTTGTACCTGGGGGTGGGGCCTTGCTGTCCAGGCTCTGGAAGAGCCTCTGCTGGAAGGTCAGGAAGAGAGTCTCACCGGAAAAGGGGGCTCGGCCCTTCGTCGGGGCTCTACAGCGTCGCCTTTTCCGTCTCCCAGTTCGTGGTCGACTGCAGCTCCGTGCAGAGCCTGCCCACCATCACCTTCACCATCAGCGGGTCCCAGTTCCCCCTGCCTCCCTCTGCCTATGTCTTCAGCGTACGTAGTCACTCCCAGGCTCCCCGGCTGTGTGGCTGGATGGGCCCCACAGCTGTCCCGAGTCCCAGCTCACATCTGGGCAGCTATGGGGAGCCCCCAGGGGCAGGGCTGAGGGTGGCCAAGAGTTCAGAGGCCCCCAGGAGTGCCATGGAACATAAGGTGGGGGGAGGTCTCTACGGTGTCGCTGGTTACACACGCACGTCCTCCGTCTCCTTAGGACAACGGCTACTGCAGGCTGGGGATTGAGGCCACCTACCTGCCCTCCCCCAACGGGCAGCCGCTGTGGATCCTGGGAGACGTCTTCCTCAAGGAGTACTACTCCGTCTACGACATGGCCAACAACAGGGTGGGCTTTGCCTTCTCGGTCTAGACACCGGAGGCAGCCCGCACCCTGCCCGCAGGACGCTGCGGCGGCCGATGTGCCCCTGGACTGGCCGCGGCCTTCTCACTGTCCTGACCCCTCTGCTCACAGTCTTACTTCCCACAGCCAATAAATCAGGGAACTCCGAACGTCTCTGAAGTTCCTTCCAAGGCGTCTTTTTGTGTGTGTTCTGCTTTCAGTCATTGATTCGAAATGGAAACTTAGCGGCGGCGGTGTCAGGGGATCTGCTCACGGGCCAGCGGGCGAGGACCCAGGGGAGCAGGTCTGCGGGAGGACTCGTGGGCTCTGCGGGAGGCCCTGGACCCAGGTCACCGCCCCTCCCGGCAGCCTCTCCTCCAACCCTTCTCTCTGAATATTCTGGAAAAGAACATGAACCAGACCTCTCCCCGACTTAGGAATGTTAGAGAGAAAAAGAAACCTTAGCATTTCAATAGGCGCTCTGAAGGCCGAAATCTGATCAGAAACAGCTGGGGGGTTTTTGTTTGTTTTTTACGGAGGGGAACCGCATATATTTACACATATATACATATATATGGATAAATATATGTGTGTGTGTATATATATATATAAAATCCTCACCTGAGAATATGCTTTTATTAATTTGTGAGAGAGAGAAACATCACTCAGTTGCCTCCTGTACACTCTATGACCGGGAATCGAACCTGTAGCCTGGGCCTGGGCCTTGACCTGGAATCAAATGGCATCCTTCTGATGCACCCAAAGCTCCAACCACCTGAGCCACCCGGCCAGGGCAGCTACCCTTCTACTCTTGAGATCCCACACCCCGGCTTTTCATGGCTCTGAGCACAGCAGCCTGGAGAAAGGCGAGATGATGGCCGGGGAACACTTTTCACTTAAAAAAAAAAATCTACCTGATCTTCCTTTTTGGGTTTTGAAGTGTATGGCACCATCTTTCCCACAGCCCCAAAGCCGTACTCAATTCTATTTCATCCATGTCAATGGCAGAAGAATATCACTAATTTGATTTTCCTTCCAACTTGAATTGATTGTGTTCAGTCAAATCCTGTGCTGAAAATTCAGACTGATCGATGAATGGTTCGCAGTGTTTGCCACCCCACTGAACACGCAACAGGAACCCCCAGACCCATCTAAGCAGGAATACAACGAGCCAGCACGTGGAAGAGAAGGTTCTGAACTGTCTTTATGCTCTCGCGTGGTGGTCACGAGCCCTTGCCCCTCCCCGGGCCCCGTGCTGGCAGACAGGGGACCACAGCGGGGCAGAGGGAGAAGAGCAGCTCTGTCCATCCAGGACATCCTGCGGCCAGGGGGAGCCTGTGAGCGAAGGCCCAGCTTCTCAATCGTAGAACAAGCTCAAGTAGGCCAACCGGTTCCGGTGTCTTCTGAAGTCCTTGTCAGTGGGCAGCTGCAACGAAAGAATGTTGTCTCAGACCCGATTCAGATGAGAACCCTCTGCCTCTGATCTTCCTGGCTGTGCAAAATGAGCTGCCCGCTGCAGCTTTTGTGACCTAGCTAAACCCCAGCCCACAGCTGTCTAGCCTCTAGCCTCAGTCAACTTTTAAAAAAATTTTTTATATGTGTATATATATATATATATATATAAAATACATATATAAAATTTTTTTTAGAGAGAGAGGAAGGGAGAGAGAAAGAAACATCGATGTGAGAGTGTAACCCTCCTGCATGCCCCCTACCAGGGATCAAGCCTGCAACTGGAGCATGTGACCTGACCAGGAATTGAACCGGCAACCTTTAGACCAGGAATTGAACTGGCAACCAACTGAGCCACACTGGCCAGGGCTGATTCTCTCAACTTTTGCACTTACAGTGACTCTTTGTCATCTTACTCTGGTGTCTATCATGTTAAGAATTATTTTTTTATTTGGTAAATCTCTAAGAGTTAGCTGGCAAACTCCTTGAAAACACAGATTATATGTTTCATTCTTGAATGTTACCTATAGGCCCTAACACGATTATACTGATACATCAGGCGTTTAATAAATATTCATGAAATTAATGCGAAATTCCATTAGGAAATAAAAGGCACCTTTGGGATTATGACAGCTAACATGGATTGAGCATTTATTATGTTGTAGATACGGTGTTAAATGCTTTTCTACCTTATCTCAATCTTTACAACCTTATCAGATTGATTCTATTATTGTACTCATTTTAAAGAAAAGAAAACTGAGGCTTGGAAAAATTTGTGGACTTGTCCAAGATCACACAGCAAGTAAGTACTGGAGCTAGGATTTGAACCCAGGCAGTCTGTCCCGGCAATCCATGCTCTTGCCAGAATGTTCTACAACCCCCTGATGATCTAATACTCAAGGGGTGTGATGGAAAGAGCAGGGGCCTAGGAGTCACAAGACCTAGATTCATGCTGTGTAGCCTGCACAAGTGGCTTAATCCAACTGAGTCTCGATTCCCTCTTCTATCATATACAGATAATTTTCCTGTACCTACCACAGATTACTTGAGGATTAAATAAGAAAATGTAACTTTCATGCAGTCGTGCACACCTTTAAAAATCTAATACAATTGCTCAACTTTCTCCCCGAATCCCCATATGCATATACACACAAAATTGTACATATAATTTGGGGGGGAGGGCAGGACTTTTTAAAGCTCATTCACAGACTCCCAGTTAGGAAGAACCAGATGGTGTTAGGAAGATGCCCTGTCTTATTACCTCAGCTTTTATGGTTCTTTTCTGTAGACATGGAACCTGAGCCCAATCTGGAGATCCAAATTTCATTGGCCAGGTAACTTTTGGGGGTGGCTTTATCTCTGGGTTGTACGTGCCAGGGCTGGAAATAAAAATATGTGACGTGATGTCTATGAGTTAGTGACCATTTGGGAACCCCATCCATCAGTATCAGAGCTGTCCCTGAACCAGGTCTAACTTCCTGATAAACGGCAACAGATTGACCAGGTTTTTAATGTTGGTTCCTTCGCCTGTTAATGTATTTCTAATTAGGTGTTCGTGTGAAAGATATCTAGTCTTGACATCCAGCTAAGGTAAAAATTGACTCTAATTTTCAAAATATTTCTGCAATTCTGCATCTTAGCTGAGAGGCCAGAAGATCCCAGAAGTGGTGGGTGATAAGAGCAATCTACCACAGTGATGAATTAGTACTGCCCACCATTTGAAATGGGATAAAAGTGCTGGGATAATTCAATCTATCAGCAATCTAGGGACAGCAGAGCAGAACCAGTTAACTTTTCTTGACAGTGGGATTATTTTATAGCTGCTTTTGTTCGTGATTGCTTTGTCTTTTGGTGTAGACACATTTATAAATATTTATTTAATGAATCACGATGATTTTCACTTCTATGATGCCAGAGATCTGGAAGGCAAGAGGTGGAATCTTAAAGATGAGTGGCTCTTTAGCTGTCCTTCCTTTCTTATCGCTCTCTGTGGAAGTGCCCCAGAAAAGAGGAGACATACCCAGGATAACACATGTCCTTTGAGCATGTCCTAAATCGAGGCAACATGGCATTAAATGGAGCAAAACTTTGTTTGTGTTTTTGTTCCTGAAGACTGACTGTCTGGTACGTGCCTGGATGAGGTGTCGCATCCTGTTTCCAAGAAAAAGACCAGTACGTTAGAGGGTGACACACAGGTATACACATATAAAGCTTTCTAAGTAAACAAAACAAGCAAAAGCCAAACCAAGACAGAGTCATCCTCTCCCTGTTCATGTATCAGCTACTGTTTAACCCCCTCAAGCTACAGAAGTAGGCCTACCATAGGTAGAGAGCCAAGGCACGTGCGGGTCAACTACCTGAAGGTACCTAATGCTTCAGTTGCAGGAATCAACCTAAGCTGGGTGGAGAACCAAGTTAACTCGGTGCAGCTACTACCCTCCATCCCACTCGGAGACCATGTCAGCAAAGGGCCCACGAGATTAGGGTGCTATACTGAAAACGTTCAGACTTGAAATCCAATGACACAAAAGGATGGAAAAGTTGGAATTTGGGTTTTTTTAATCCTCACATGGGGATATGTTTGTTGATTTATTGATTTTAGAGCGAGGAAGGGAGAGAGAGGAAGAGGGAGAGAGAGAGAAGCATCCATCTGAAACCTAGGTATGTGCCCTGACGGGGAATCCGGCAACCTTTCGGTGCCCTGGATGACGCTCCAACCCACTGAGTCACACTGGCCGGGGTGGAATTTGGTTTTTAACTGAGAGGATAACCCAATGCATACAACAAAGCTTCCAGTATTTTAACATCAGGTGTCTCAGTGGGCACCGAAACTGACTTGGTACCACTTCTCCCGAGCATTGTTTCCCATTCTCCCAGGACGCTCACACACACATTTGCAATGCTAACGCCCAAGCTTTTCAGATAGGCTTAATGGCTTTTGAATAAATTGCCTATAATTCTTGAATTTCAGAGCCTATTATTTAGGTAACCTCCCACTCACTGCTCTGTGCTCCCAGTGCAAATACACACACCACCACCATGGATCACACGAAAATTTAAGCACATCCAACCATGTCTAACCTTGGCTTGCTTAAACCTCACGGATGTTCTGGCTCCCAAAGTATATCCTTTTATACTGGTCGGGATCTTGGAGAGGCTGTACACCCAGTCATACCTCTTTGGGTAGAACATATTAAAAAAATAAACAAAGAAAGAAAAAAACAGAGAACGTTATAGTCATCAAAAACAGAGTGAACTTAGACTGGTCTTATTTGAATTTTCTCTGCAAAAGTTGCTCTCTCTTGACTCCTCTGAGTCAAGACCATGGGAACAATGACATAAGGAACAGGTACCTCTGCTGCGGGATGTGCCTGGATAGGCAGAGTAAGTGACATTTCTATGCCTTCCAGTGAATCCAGCCCCCCGCGCCACAGAGCTGAACTTGCTCTAATGCAAGTGAGTCTGATCATCTTATATCATAAACCCACCTACCAGCACATCCGCAATCCAGGTTGTGGCGTTGGCTCACAAGTCGGTGGAGGTGGGAATGGAGTGGGGACTATCCTGTTAACCATATGAAGCAAAGCCTTGCGTTTTTTGGGGGTGGGGTGCGGGTTGGAAGCAGGGAGCAATGGTCCTTTAGCTCTGACATTGACCCTGAGGGCTGGTTGCAAAGAACAAAAGCCCTTTCTCATGCTGGGACCCTGAGGGCCACAGAGTCGGAGATTTTCTTTCACTAAAGGCGGCTGTCTTTAAATAGATGGGGAGCGGGGAGCCACCTCGGGGAAGGTGAGTACTCACACTCTCGGTGCCGTAACATCCAGGCCCTCTGTGGGGTGCTCCCCTAATAGGCATAAACTTGTTCCCCAAAAAGTTGTGGGGGTGGAAGTGAGGGAAGATCTTCTTCTGCTGACACGTTCCAAAGTGGTAGTGAACCAGCGATTCTGAGGGTCCAGAAAGAGCAGAAACTCCGCGTGAGGGGTCTAAGTGGGAGCT